AGAGAGAAGAATAAATTCAAAGCTTTTGAGATAGGAATATGAATGAGATGCTTTTGCAACATCGAGGATATTTATGTTGCTAGGAAGTGATGACTAAATAGAAAAATTATGGGAAATAATGTTACAGGGATAACCAGGAAAGAGATTCTGTAGGTCCTGGTAAAATATAGAAAGGACTTGAATATTTGTTCTAATTGAGCTAGGAAGCCATTGGAAGATTTTGAACGCAATAATTTTCAGAGAGAATTTTATCATGTTATATCAGTGTCATGTTTGACTCCTTAAACAAAATGAATTGGTGACTGTTTTCAACATTTTTATCACATCCACTGATAATTAGATAATTACTTTCTATACTACTAAAGATGGCATCCTTACCATCTTTAACTATTTTTCCAATTTAAATCTTTGCTTTTTAACATCACTTCATTGCTATAAATTTTCTTTAAATGGAAAATTCACTTATTTATTCATCCAAAAATATTTATTGTTTACTAGGTACCAGGCACTATTGTTAGCACTGAGGATATAGCAGCGAACAAAATACATGAAAACTTGTCCTTGCTCTTCTGGACCTTACACTGTAGTGTAAACGTATGCTTGCCAAGGAAGGGGAAGACTGACAGTAAACAAAATATGTGACTAAAATTCATAGTATGATGGATAATGAGAAAAAAATAAGGCAATATAAAGCTCTGTTGACATTAGATAATATTTAAAAGATAAGAGAAGAGCTCACTGAGAAAGAATCATCTGTGTGGGTACTAAAAGATGGTGATGGAGTGAGCTATGCATATATCTGGAGAAGAACCTCCTAGAAAGAAGGAACAACAAATACAAAGATCCTGAGTACAAATCTGTATCTTACAGCAGCGGTACCAAACTTTTTGGCACCAGAGACCGGTGCTCCTATGAGAATCTAATGCTTGATTATCTGAGGTGGAGCTGAGGCGGTGAAGCTAGCCCTGGGGAGTGGCTGAAAATACAGAAGAAGCTTCACTGGCTAGCTGGCCACTCAACTCCTGCTATGCAACCTGGTTTCTGACAGGCCACAGATTGGTACCAGTCTGCGGCCCGGGAGCTGGGGACACCTGTCTTATAGGGCTTTGAGGCCATTCTTTGAACTTTATGTGGAGCGATGTAGGAAGTCATTGGAGTGTTTGAGCAGAGCAGTGTCATGATATGACCTGTTTTGACATGAGGATTCTGGCTGTTGTGTTTCAGTTTATGTGAAGGAGCAAGGTTTGGAAAGCGGTATGGTGAGTACAAGGAGATAAGCTGAGATACAAGTTGAAGCATGTTGCAATAATTTAGGACTAGAGTGATAGCCATGGAGGTGGTAAGAAGCAGTCAGATTTTAGATATATTTTGAAATTAGAGCCTGATATGGTATGAGTAAAAGAGGAGTCAAGAATCATTTCCAATATATTGTATGTAAGTGTGTGTATGTGTGTGTGTGTGTGTGTGTGTGTGCAACTAGAAAGATGGAATTATAATTTACAGAGATGGGAAATATTATAGAAAAGATGAGGAGAAAAGCTTGGAAAGTGTTATATATGAAATTCCTATTATATATCTAAAGATGGTGATCAGACAATGGAAAAAATCTAAAGCTCAGGAGTAAAGTTCTGACCACAGATAAAAATTTTGGAATTACCAACATATAGATGGTATAAAGGCATGAAAATAGACGAGATCACCAATATAAATGGTTGAATCCTGAGATTGTTATGAAATAAGTGGGAGCTGAATCCTGAGATACTCTAATTAAGATGCCAAAAATAGACATGGAAAAGATGTGGAGGGAAATGAGGCCATGAAATAAAGAACGGTGAAATCCCTGGTAAAATCAATCAGTAGATTACAGATCCTGGTCAGTGGAAGTATTGTTGCATCCTGGTAAAATCAATCAGTAGATTACAGATCCTGGTCAGTGGAAGTATTGTTGCATCCTGGTAAAATCAATCAGTAGATTACAGATCCTGGTCAATGGAAGTATTGTTGCAGTGATCCAATCCATAAAACTGATATGGAGAAGTTGTAGTTTTGGGTGTGACAAGGTTTAGGATATGTCCATTGGAATGAGCAGAAGCAAGATCATTGGAGGAGAAAAGTATAAAAAACTAAGAAGCAACAGAACTATAAGGATTCCCTTCATGGTCATTGAAATACCAATAATTATCATAGCAGTACTATTTTGAGAGATTAGCTTTGAATCAAAGGCTAAAATTGTCAAGGAATAAGTGACTTCTGCTGGTAGATGATTCCAAAAGAAGGATAAATAATAGTGTTTTCGGATATGAGATTCGAAATTATGGATTCTGAGGAAAGAGAATGTGAAAATGGCAAGGCGGGTTAGAAACTAGACCATCTGGTGTGGAGCAATAATGCAAAATGGAGAATGACGCAGCCCCCATTGATCGTGACAGCAGGGGAGGTACTCTTTTTAGGGAGGGACCAGATTTAAGTTAGAGCAACTAGGTAAAGTAAAAGAAATTTAGAGACAAGGCTAAAGATAAAGGTAATTCTACTTGTGATTAATTAACCATGAGTTCCAAAAGGCTCAAGAGAAGGATCTTAGTTCAGAACTGGGAGAGGAATAGAAGGTGAGGGGCAAAAACAGGTGTGTGGGGATCACATTGGAGGTGATGAGAGCAATTAGGGAATTCTTATTTTCTTGTGGTGGTGACTAACATAAGAGAGAAGACAGTTATAATAAAAGTCATCATTATGATGCCGGGGCTTAGCATCAGTGGGTAGAGGCAAATAGCCTCCTGGAGCTGCCTCTTGACCACCGCCAAGGGAGGTATGTTGGGCAGGTAGTAACAGATCTCTTTGAGTCTGAAGGCTCTCTCTTGAAGCATGCTTGTGGCACCCCTCTGAGAACTCCAGGAATAAAAACTATTGGAAAAAACATCTGGATACCAGTCTTAGAGATTTTATTTTTGTTCGCTTGATATGAATTAATTGCTTTAAATATTTATAATACACAGAGGTCATACAATGATATTAGGTATTGAATCTATAATGTATTAGGCACTGGGTAAAGCTCTTTACATACATTATTTAATCGTTACCCCAAGTATTGTCTTTCTATTTTATAGATGAGGATATTGTTGCTCAGAAAGTTTAAATAACCTGCTTAAGTCAATACTGTCAGCAAGTAGCAGAGACAAATTGGCATCAAATTTGATCAGACTTCAAAGACCATGATATGTCATCAGAGCTGTGATAATTATCTCTAAAGTAAAGATCAGTATTTTTTTAAAACAAATTTTGCAATTCTCTTGACCCATGGATGTTAGCATAATATTGATCTTGAAATAACTGTTGCAACTCCTTTCCTCTGATCACTCGTTTTCTTTCACAAGTCGCAAAAGACAATCTCATTACTTAAACAGTCGTGGCAGAAGAGAGGTCACGGAAAATGCTCTTTGGCCTCTGAAAATACTCCAGAATCTCACCAGGTAGCTTTGGTTTAGGGATTAGAAAGATCTTCAGTTCATTTGTGCTATTCTACCTTCATTCTTTCTATATAGTTTTCTCTAATGATGTGATGTGCCTTGGTGGAATAGAAATTTGGAGAGAAAATCACTAACACAGGAACACCTAAACTGTGTTTCCACTTTGAAAGAAAGGGAAATCCAAAAGCAACTGAAAATATTCTCTAGTTCTGCTACTGGAACTTGAAATTTGGCATTGCCTAAAAATTAAATGAAGGGCTTATTTAAAAAAAAAAAAAAGCATATTTTTTTTTTTTTTTTGCTCAACTGAATCGGATTCTCCTAGGTGTGGGCAGGACTGTCATAGATTCTGATTCAGCGGAGGACTGTTTGGGAGCCAGGGCCCTAATCTTCCTAGTCCCAGGTTTACATTTCTCAGTTTCTTTTAATTGGGAAATTAAGAATTTCCTAACCCTTCTCCCTCTCTACACTCTCTGTTTCTTCCCATGATGTCAATGCTTTCTAGAATAAACCAGAACAGAACTGATTTATCAAATAACAGAAATAAAACTTAAATACATATTGCTGAAGTTCTATCAAAAATTGTCCTTCAGAAGTGATAAGGGGTAACAATGTTTTTACATGTGCATCCTTACATTATGTGTGTGTGTATTCACATGGCTCTCTATATAATAGCTCTATATATAGCTGTTATGTATGTGTTCTCTATTTAATAGTATGTATTGAATAGCAACATATATAATATGACAAATATACATTTTTGTTCATTTGAGAGGAGAAGAGTTTGAATCTAATTTACATTAGTATACCGCCAGAACAGAGCCCAATGTCTGAGGATAGAGGTATAGTAGAAAGTCAAAAATGTTTGACTGACTGAGTGAATGAATGAATGAACAAATAAAACTTAACCTCTCCTCAAGAAAACTTTCGGTTGGTTCAAGATCCCCACTTCTCTAAAAACCAAGTCGATAGAAAAAAATTATGTGACTGGTCTTTCTTTAGGTTTCAATGTAAGGAATCTATCACGCAAAGTAGTCTTGACTTTTGCCATTTTTTAAAAATGTTGTCACTTGGAAGACCTATCTTGTAATGAAGTAGTGCTTTAATTCCATATGGGGCATCTAATATCATATTAGCATCTCACATCATATTAGCACTGCCCCTCGGTATCAAGTAAAAAGAGTGTACTCTATTTTTTGAGTGCTAAAGTACCCTGTAGACACATTTTTAAAAATTCCTTGAATTTGGAAGAGTTTTAAATATCTTGGATAATATGTTATATTTTTATATTTAAAGAAAAAAATTTTATGCAGTTTAGTTAAGTAAACAAATACAAGTTATTCTCAGAAATAAAGTTTAATAATTAAACTTTAACAGAAAAATATTTTATATTCTGACAAATATAACTTTTAAGATAGGAGTCTGGAACAGACTCTTAGAATAGCTAGTTAATTTTTTTCTAGTTGCCTAAGACAATGACCTGATGGTTAATCATTATTGGACTGATTTAAAAAAAAACGAAAAAAACAACTACTTGAAGTCTTTAACAACAAAGAGATGGACTTGCCGCTGCTGTAGGATTCTAAGTCCAGGTAAGAATCTTTGAGATTCTCTAATTTCAATGTTTCTTCTATGTGAGAACATTCCACAAATTTCAAGGACAAAATATTTTGATGGACATGATAAATATTACACATTTTTTGCCTGTTTCTTCTACACATTTATGTTCTAAGATCTTAAAACCTATTAAATATCCCTTCTAGAGATAGATGAGCCACAGGTTTATATATGTTTAAAAATAAAATACAGAAAATCAGACATTCATAATTTAAAAATAGTTTGAAATCCAGTTCTTACTACTTTCTCAACAAGTCTGAAAAAGTGAACCTCTGGTTACCTTCCAAAATATGCTACTAGGCAATTATTTTCACTAACTACATAGAATAATGAGATTTACTCCCTATTCCTTTGATTCTATCTTAACTGGATAATTTGGAGTGGAGAGTTAGCTGGCAAACATCAAGAAATAGGATGTCTCTCAAAGTTGCTTTCCCACCTTTAGTTTCCTTTTTTCAACTCAAGTTTGACTCAAGGTGAGGGAAGAGAAAGATTTTTCTAGGTCATTTCATCTCATCAAATGAAAAAAAAATCTGCTTAGCACAGTTCCTCATACAAACTAAAGACTCAATAAATGTTAGTTCCCCTCTCCCATTCAGAAAGGTAGCTACCCTTGTAAGACGATTGTTATTGTCAAAGTAAGGTGGAGGATGGGGGAAGGTGTCCCTACAAGAGGGCAAAGAAGTTGGTAAGTGTCATTTTCCCTTTTCCCCTCCTCAGTTCCACGAGGACATGGTAGAAAATGGGTCACTTGCTTGTACTGCTTTTCTGTGATCCTTCAAATAATAAAAGCCTTAACAGATGAACAGAGGCTGGTGAGAATCTGCCCTCCACTCCATCCCAATCAAATTAGGCAGAACGGGGTTGTGCTGCTCAGGGAAGAGGAGCAATGCTCCATCTGAATGCCTGTGGTCCTGTCTTATAAACATACTGAGTCCTCAAAAATTCATTTATATGTCATTTGTTTAGAATTCTGAGGAAAAAAAATATGTCCAGAGATAATTATGTGAAACGTCTCTAGGTCAGGCTTAAAGTGCCATGGTGAAGTAAAAGTGTGGTGTTTAGAGTCAAGCCTATATGGATAATCTAACTTTCTAATTACTTTGTAGTTGTTACAATTTAATCTTTCTCAGAAATGAGAAAACAAGTGCTTGCATTTCCAATATTTTTTCTGGATATTTTTTCCCAATATCTAGGAGAGAGGTATAGAATAGTCTGTCTGGGAAAGCTGTGAAAATACAAGAAGAGTAATAATATATTACAAGGTATATTCTCCAGTGAAGCAGCAGTGTGGGAGAGGTTATTTCAAGTGAGGGTAACTGGGAAAACATCTAAGAGAGGTGACTTGGAGCAGCATTACAACCAAGAGATGAGAAAGAACATTATAGATTGAGAGGACACATATAGGGAGCTGAGAGTTTTTTCTGGAGACATTGGTTCCATATGACTGAAGATGTGTTTAGGTGTATTGAGAAATGAGACTGAAAACAAGTGTTGGTTTCAGTTTGTGAAGAATCTCAAGTAGGAAGTGTGAATATTATTTTGTATGGTACAAGGGACCTCTGAAAGATTCTGAGGATACATGTATGTATAGGACAGAGAGAAGGCTGAGAGACAGGATAATCATAATTTAATCAGTTGCAATAAACAAGGCTAAGAGTGGTGACATAATAGTCTTCAAGAATATTGGTTCAATGGCCAAAAACAAAAAACAAAAAACAAACCATTAAAGCTAAAGGGTGACTATCCACTTTGCAAATCATTCATAAAGATTTACAATTATAAGATTAAGTGGTAAAAAATGATTTTCTAACATTTAAATCCTGAGGGATGATACAGAGATATTCATTAAAAAAAAAAACATATGAAATTTATCAAAAGGCAGCTTATGACTTTGAGACCACCAAACTACTGATTTTTCCCTCCACTCTACTCAGTAACTACACAGGTGCAGGCATGTATGGAGCACAGGCAAAAAGTAGAATAACATAACTGAGATTCACTTACATGTACATAGGTGTGGGTTTCTGCATTCATATGTGTGCTTATATACACTCACGTATACAAAAGTGGTAATATCTTCAGATATTTATCATTTCTATATTTACACATTTATTAAATATACATTGTATATATTCATGGTCTTTATAAGTAAGGAATCAATAAATCCTTGTTGAATAAATTAACGAATAAAATATACAGTTGATCCTCATTACTTATGGATTCTTTTCGCAAATTTGCCTACTCACTAAAATTTATTTGTAACCCCAAAATCAGTATGGCAGGTCTTTCATGGTCATTCACATACTTGCACCAAGTGGCAAAAATTTTGAGTTGTTCAATACCTGCGTTCCCAGCTGAGGTCAAACAAGATGTGGTTCTGCCCTCTTGTTACAGCTCTCACACTGTGAACAAGTGATGTTTTCCTACTCTATATAGTGCCATATTTTTTATTTTTATGCTTTTTATTGGAGATTTTGCTGTTATAATGCTTCCCAGGCATACAGTGCTGAAGTTAAACACATGCTTGTTACGTAGCGCAACATTATTAGATTAACAATATAAATTAAATAAAGTGTCTTTAAACAGAAGCACACATAAGATATTAATCAGCTGATAAAAATGTTGTGACCAGAGACACACAGGAACCTAACCCTGTCTCTAGGAGCAACATTCAGTATTTGCTAGTTCAGTGTTCGCAGCAATTTTAGAACATAACTACTGCAAATAATGAGAATGAACTGTATATAGAATATATATTAAATATTGCATATTTAATGCCTTATTGGTAAGCATATATCTATGCTTATGTGTTTCAATACATAAATAGATATTTTAGATACATAAATGTGTATTATGCACATATGTATAAACAAGAACAGATTTTCTAAACCTCAGTGAAGAAACAACTAATTTATATAAAAGAACAAACTTAAGAAACAAATTGACTAATTTTTCCAGTCTTTAAAATGGGGGATTAATAACTCAAAATTAAAATTCCTCTTTCACTTTGATCTCCAAACTCCAGTGGGTATTTATCCTATAGCTCTGATCACATATAAATAAAATGAGATATTAAGAAAGTTTTCTAATATAAAATAATTAGATACGACCTAAATATTTATCAACAATGTAACACCCTGCATCTCTAACAAAACTGAGGGAGCCATTTATTAATATAAACTTAAGTATATAAAGCAAGAGTATATAAAACAGAATAAAAAAAATAAGTTATCTTTTTTAATAAAAAAGGTAACTTATCTTTTGTTAGATAACAATGTTAGTGGCATCCTGCCATTTGTATTCAAAGGAAAATATTATGCATTTAACTAAAAATGCATATTATATTTCTGGATAAGATTCACTGAAAACTGATAGCATTAGTCCTCAGGAAGAGAAACTAGATGCTAGGGTTGTGGGTTAGAGGAAGAATTTTTAATACATGTCTTTTTGCTCTTTCATACTTTCAACTACATGCATATATTTTCTCTTCAAAAATAAATGAACAAAATTAAAATTAAGTAGTAATCTCAAGCGTGGACAGAGTCTGTCTGAGAGATACTTGAAGTACACTTTGCTCTTCTTAACAAATCCCAACTTTACCTGCTTTTCAAGCCTGGTACCAGAGATATCTGTTCTATGAAAACTTCTTAAGCCACCATAATTACATTATTTTTATACCCATTTTGACTATCTGTTATGTGCAAGGCATTGTTTGGAACTTTGTAAAGCTATAAAGATAAATTAAATATGTATTTGCCTTCTTAAATCTTATAATGTAGATATGTAGAAAATAAAAGTTAATTTCTATAATTACAATTTTTTTAATCTAATCTAGTGTGTGATTCTATATAATCTTATTTATTTTCTATTTCAATTTTTTCTCCATAAATGTATCTTTCTAACTAAATTATAATCTCCTAAAGCTAAGGTTCTATGTGTGCATTTTTTTATGTCCAGCATTTAGCAGGCCCAGTGCTCAGGACGCAGTAGGCCCTGAATAAATATTAGTGAATTTATGAATTGAGTGATATTGATTTTGTGGCTTTATTTATTTCTATAATGTATATTGTTAAAGTGAAATAAGTTATTCTTTTCCTCCCCGAATAGGTCATCATTTGAACAAAACACCAGCAACAATTGAAAACAGTCACATAACATCTGTATTTCAAGGATGGACCAAAATCAACATTCGAATAAGACAGCAGAAGCACAACCATCGCAGAAAAGGAAAAGTAGATGTTGCAGTGGATTCAAGGTAGAATGAGTTTCATGTTTCCAAACTAAAATAATTGAAAGGGAAACTTTTCTTTAAAGAAACAGCAACTCATATTTAGAAAGAACATTAAATTTCAAATTTGAGTTTTCTACTGAAACATACATTAAAATATTAACCAAATGATCTATATTTTGATTTAAATGTTTCAAATCTGAAAAAATATTTTGAGTGACATTTCTGATAGTTATTAGTTTATTAATGTTAAAAATTTAGAAATATTTTGGTATCTTCTCTTTGGTTCTCGATGGGCCAAAAAAATTATAAATGTGATTAAAATAAAATAAGTTGTATAATAGGTAATATATAAAAATAGTCATGCTTGACCTATAAACAGAGAAGATTAATCAGCCTTATGAATCACTTTGTAGTCTTGACCTATTTAAATTTTTTTAGAGAACAGCATTTTTTATTTAAATAACTTAAATAATAACATCTGATGGAAAAAGAGATCCGCAATAACAGTGAAAAGACCTGGCCCAAAGATCTAGCTTCTGACTTAAGAAAGACATTTAATTTCTCTATATACGAGTTAGTACAAGTAATAATCTTGTCTCTTACTTTTGTCACACAATTGTGAGACTCTAAATGATATAGACTGTATTGGGATTTTCATAGATAAGAAAAAGTACACCCTGAACATAGTGTTGAAGAAACCAAGACTCAGGGAAATTAAGAAATTTGCCTGAAGTCATCTAGCTTATGAAAGCTCCTGAACCAAAGTTAAAGAATTTAAGGCCACATAGGAAAGTCTTGAAGAAATAAAAAAATCACGACTGACTTTTATTCATATTTTCTGTGGTTTCTTCAGTCAGACGCCATCTTATCTACCTGAATAAAGACCACAGAGATCAGATTCGATTGCAGTAACCTTACATAAGGTCTCTTTTAACTTTGTGCAGGGAACATGAATTCTGTTTGTTTTCAGCAATTACTGGTAAAGTTTGTTCTGATGAAATATTTGAATAATATTTACACAGAATGACAGTCACAAGGAAAAGGTACTGGTTAATGCAATTGTATTGCATTCCATTATCTAGGGGTAATATGATATGCTGCATTATTTCTTCTTTTAAATATTGAGGGTTAAAGTGATTTTGTTTGCACATGTATACCAAGGTGACAACAAACTGGCTGAAACAAATAAGATTACCGGAGCTGTCTCACGTAGCATATTTAGAAAAAAGCTAGGAGTTAGCAAGTTAGCAGTGCATATAAAGTATGTTAATTACAGCCTAATAATGAAGACCAGAGAAGCAATAATAATAGTAATAATAATAGCTAACATTTATTGAACACAATATATGCCAGACAGGAGTCTAGTGTTTTATTTTTATTAGTGGATTTCTACCAGCTAGATGCTATCATCCCCCTTTAACAGATGAAAAAACTTAGATACAGAGAGTTCAAATGACTTCCCCAAGGTCCTCAAACTACTATGTGGTAGAGTCAAGGTCCAAATTCAGGCAGTCTGATTCTAAATCCAAGGCTCTCAATTTCACTCTATATTGCTAAAGTAACTGTGGATTTTTATAATACTAGTACCCTCAAGATGTTCTGATAAACAGGAATTTAGAAGTAGACTGTTTGATGGTCTTCTTCATTCTACAGAGGTCTGCTAAGTATTTCTCAGAGGCACACACATACACACATGTTGTTACTGACACGCATATACAAACTCAGTAGGTAAAAATGTATAAAGTACAAATAAATAAGATACTTTTAAATAACAACATGCTTTGATTCTTTCTTATCTC